AGTGGTCACCCTTACTTCTTGGAACATATTTATAATAACTGTCTAAAAATTATGTCTGATAATTCAACATCTGTGCCTTCTAAATGTTACCATCTTTGGGTGAACTTTTACCATGCCAGTTGAGACTTTCTTGGTTCTTTGCAATGCAAATGATTTTTGGATTGTATCCTGAATATTTTGAGTGTTAAAGAATCTCAGTATTAATTAAATGCTAAAGAGTATTTTGACATTTTCAGAGTGGTTAGCAGAACTTACACACCTATATTCAGATATTAAGCTCCAACAAACTTTCTGCAGGTTGTGGTTCCATAATCAGTTTTGTTTTCAAATCTTTTTCAGTGCTGTTCAGCTCCTTCCTAGCCTATGGCCAGTCTGGGACATGAGTAGTGGACTATCCCTTACTTAGGTTTTTAAAAGTTCGTAATCAGATCCACACATGAGAAGTCTGGGCATAAGCCCAGGAGTTCATAAACAACTTTATGGGATCACTTTCCTGTGACCTTCTCCCCCTTGTGGTATCTAATAATTTCAGTTCTCTGGGACTCCCATTTTCCATCTTGTAGCCAAAACTATTGGACTTTATTTACTACATTTTGCCACACACTTTGTGCAACTATATCTGTAGGAAGAAGAGCTGCAGGAAGACAAGAGGAGAAAGAACTCGGTAGGTGTTTTGTACCACTGTTGTGAGTCAGGGCCTCAGATTGGAGAAGCTATTTCTTTTCCCTCAGAGCATTGAGTACTGTACCTTCAGGCCCCTTCTGTGGCCTTCTCTTTAGCTTAGATAACCTGAGGGCTAGAGCTTGAGAGAATAGAGAAGGGAAAATAGATATTTCTCCTTTCTTTGAGCTTTTTTTCTGTTCCTTTAACCTGAACTAAGGGGCTGCTCCTACTGCTTTCTCTGCTGTGCCTGATTGTCCCCTTCTAGTGTTTAAACTCTCTTGAATCAAGCCTGGGGGTGCTGGAGGTTGTTTGTTTGTTTTTGGTAAGAGCAATCATTCTGTAGTACTTTCCGTTCTAGTGGTGTCTCTCTCTCTCCAGTCCGTTTATGATTTAACTTCCATAGTCTTCAATAGCTGCTTCAGGTATTTTTCCAGGTTTTATTAGCTTCATTTAATAGGAGACACAGAATGACTTATACTTTTTCAACCCTAACTGAATCTGGCCTCAAGTTAACTTTTTATCTTTGTCTAAGTTAACATGTATTTCCAGAGGCTGTGAATTATATATATATGGTGACTTTGTTGGGTAGTCATACCACAAATATTTGCATGACTATATGTGTATATGTATATGTGGGCATGTATTTTTGTATATATTTATGTGTATACTATCAAAAGACTAAAAGGGGGGAAATTAAGCTGTCTAGAAAAAATGTACACTGAAACATTTATTCCTAGTTAAAGTTTGAACACTTAAATTTTAATTTAGCAATATTTTGGCTTTTGCTTTTGGGGTGGATTTTCTTTATCAGGAACAGTAGGGTGGGAACAGCAAAGACCAAGCTCAGGAAGCCTTATAGAATGAGAGAGATATAACTGACTCTACAAATCAGATTACAAAAAGTTATTTATTCAGAATGGGTAATGGGATTCTGGACAGAGGGAATAGCTTGAGAAAAGGTATGCAATTATAAATGTCCATGGCACATATGGATGTGTATAGAGGTAGTGACAAAACTAGAAAAGAAAAATCTGACTTAGACCCTTACCATACCCTATTAGAGCATCAGGTCTGGGGCTCAATTGTGGTTGGCCATGTGGGAGCCCAGTACATTAGCCACTATGCCACCTGCTGGCCCCTCATACATAACCTTTTGAATTGGCTTTTCATGCTCCATAATTTCTTAGAGATATATCTAAGTTATTGCATGTATCAGTAGTTTGTTCCTTGTTGTTACTGAGTGGAATTTCATGACTTATATTTCAGAGTATACTTTGCTATCATTTAGGGGAAAGATAAGTCTTACTACTCAGGAATTTTTCTTGTTTATATATTCGATTTGGAATTTAGACTAAAAACAAAAATCTTAGGAGCATTCTCATGTCCCTTTAAAAAAAGTCTTTAGGAGAACCGCATGCATAATATATTGACATCTTACATGTTCGTAGATGTGCTGCTCTGCTCCCCTTCTATCTCCTAAACTAGAAGTGAGATCAGAAGACCTAAGGGAGAATGCTGCTTTAGAAGGATTTAGAATAGCCCCTTCAAGTACACTCCCATGCAAATGCAGGACGGAACCTAACCTGTTCCTGAGCAACACATTTTGCAGTGAAAGCAGCATGCTGGAGTTACAGGCCAGCATTTGGACATTTTCTGTCTTCATCAGGCCATGTGGTTTTAGCTATTCAACCAAAATTCCAACTCAATAATGAGGGAAAACATAGAGACTGCTAGTTTTTAAAGTATGAGAAGTCTAAGAACAAATTCTGAAATGTGTTAAATGTTCATCTAAAGCACCTAGGTTGTATCCTAAGCAGAGTTCAAGGAATGAAAAATTTAGTAAATCATTTAATTGAATTGAAGACAGTTTTAAGATCATCTATAATAATGACTATTGGTAGAAAAATTATTAATGTCCAAATGTCATTTTAACCTTTAATGTCAATGTTAGATCCTATTTTAGCAAGTAGTAACTTACTGTTTTGATTCTCGTTAGAGAAGAAATAAAGGGCATATATATACAATAATAACTATGTTACCATTATATGATAACCATTTGTCACATTATTAGTTTTCAGAAGATGCATTGGAGAGGGGGAAAGGGAGATGTTAGAGAGAAAATACTTGTTTTTATCCTTTGCCAGGAATTTTTAAATTGTCATTTTGTTGATGGAAAGTATAAAAATGAGAATTCTTCAGCAAAGGTTAATCTCATCATTATGTACTTTAGGCAGTGTTTTGATGTTGATTTAAAGAGGTTTGTGCATATTTTAACTATATTTCATATAGTGATCACTGTTAAGTACTAGTATAAAAGTTAATGAGTAGAGAAAATCTACTGAATAAATTCATCTACTAATCCAAGGCACTTACAGAAATGCATGCCTTGATGTGATGTGAAATTTTTACTTGATGAATGCTTTCTAAATTTAATAATTAAACTTAGGAGAAATCTAAATCAAGATTTTTTGACTGGCGTATTTCACTTTGACTTTATAAGTATTCTGATCATAATTACAACATATATTCTGCTTCTAATTTTTAAAAGAGAAGTTTTTCATTATTTCATTTTTTATAAATGTAGATGTTCTTTAAAAGTTATTGTAATGAAATGTACCTGAATAATTAAAACATACTTTGTGGTTGCCAAAAAAACTACACATTTATAGTTTTAGTATGAATAAAACTATAATGCAAAATATTTATTTTGAACCTAGTCTTTTTTGAATACGGCAATCCACTGTAAACATAGAAAGAAAGAGAAGGTAACAGGCATCCAAAAAATGTCTGTCCATAGCACTATTATTATTTGTTTCTATTTGTCAGCACTTAGACTAACAGAATAAAAGAAAAAGTATAGTGCCTGAGGTGTGTACTTTGGGCACAGTGGCATTCAGTTCAGTTAGATTTCTGGTTTTCTGATACCTAGGTAGACATGTAAGAGTATACTGGTCAGATCATTATTATTATTATTCCAATTATTTTTTTAAACAGTCAATCACTATTTCTCATTTTTCTTGTAAAAAGACTTTACCATCATGAAATACTTCTCAGACCAGAGTTTAAAGTCTCTGTATTGACTGACATGCATGGCAATCCCTTTTGAAAAAGCAATGTAACACACTGTAAAGTTATATGCAATTCAATGTTATAGAAACAAGATTATGATGATGATAAATAAAAAATAAAAAAAAAAATAAAAAGAGTATACTAGTTAGTAGGCTTTGGTGCATCAATCTGCATTCATGTTCCACTCCTACCACCCAGTAGCTACAAGTCTATGTGCAGGTGGTTTTACTTCTCCAAGCCTCAAGTTTTGTTTTGCTTTTTAACTTATAAAATGAGTTTAAACAAACATTAAAAGAAATAGTTCAGGGAACCAGCAGTTAGCGTAATGGCTATGTCGCTGGACTCTCACGTAGTCGACCGTGGTTCGCGTCCCGGACCCGGTGGCTTAAAACTCACACCGGGCGCATATGCGTGCGTGCCCAAGATCCCAAGAGGAGAATGGAGGAGAAGGGATAGCAGCGTGACCATCCCCCCTGGGGGGTGATTTCTCACTTTCTGTCTCTATGTCTCTCTCTGTCTGGCGAGCGCACGTGCCCTATAGCAAAAACCTCTCCAAAAAAAAAAAGAAAAAAGAAAGAAATAGTTCATAAAGCATCTGGGACAGTACCAGAAAACAGAAATTTATGTACTGGAGAAGAGAATTTTTTTTTTTGGGGGGGAGGTTTTTGCTATAGGGCACGTGTGCTCACCAGACAGACAAAGACAGAGAGACAGAAAGCGAGAAATCACCCCCGAGGGGGGATGGTCATGCCGCAATCTCTTCTCCTCCATTCTCCTCTCAGGATCTTTGGGCACGCATGCACACCCACCCGGCATGCGTTTTAAGCCACCTGGTCCGGGACGCGAACCGCAGTCGACTACATGGGAGTCCAGCGACATAGTCATTACGCTAACTGCTGGTGCCGAGAAGAAAATTTAAAAAAAAAAAAAATTCTACCATTTATAGACAGAGGTCTTCTCCTAAAATTCCAAAAAAAAAAAAAAATCACAGTATGTTTAAATCCTAAAATACATATAATTCCAGAATATATATATAAATCTGTGCTGACTTTGCTTCTCTAGGATACCTTTGTGTGTTTGTTAAAACTATCTGCTTAATTTCTTGAAGAAGTTTGATTTCTGAGAGACACATTCTCATAAGTGTGCATAAATGAAAAAGATCAAAATTAAATATAATCTGTACTAAAAGTTTTCTTTTCATATTTCTACAAGTAAAATGTTTGTGACACATGGATCTACTTTTATCTCTTGTTTTTTGATTTCATTAGGAAAGGAAGGGCAAGAAATCCTGGGGCCTGAAGCTCAGGCAGATGAAGCAGGATGTGCAGGTACTTGCTGTGTTCTTTCATACCCTAGTCTTTGAAGGAGGTCTTTTGTGTCAGAGATTTGGGCATTTGTGAGTCTCAAATTTATTCTTTTATCTTGCCCTCTTTAAGTGTTTAAATACTTAGCATATTGGTCACTACATTAAAAATTAGAAATTAATATTCTTTAAATACAGTGTAAACTTAGAGAGTCTGTAAGTCTTTATAGATTTTCCAGCCTATAAAGATGAAAAGTATAAATCACATATAATCAAAAAATAAGTGTTTTGAATGATAATTTGAACTTCTATAATTTTTTTTACCAAAGTTGTAGAAATGAAGATCTATTTTGAGTTTCATTATTAGTTACCAGGATCTGCCTTGAATTGCCCACAAAGATAGAAAGCAGAAGAGAGAACAAATACCATGGGTTATCCATAAACCGGATGAGAATCATGAAAGTTGATGAGTGACCATCTCACAGCAAACAGGAGAATCAAAATGTCTTTTTGTATTTTCTATGGTTGAAAAAGGCTGAAATGAAGTTGAATTGTAGTAAATAAGAAAATTTCTTCAAAGTGACTTTAAGTACATACTGCCCGAGGCTTAACTCTATTCCTCAGTAAGGGATTCAGATCATATTCAAGAAGCAAAAGAGCAAGTGGAAAACCTAAGTCAAATCTTACATATGATAATACCAGATACTTTTATTGTATCCCCTGAATCAGCTAGAAGTGTTAGAATATACACTTCGAAAATGAGTTCCAAATTATTAAAACATTTCTTCAGGACCAGCAAATGACGTAATGGTTACATTGCTGAACTCCCACGTAGTCAACTGTGGTTCGAGTCCTGGACCCAGTGGCTTAAAACTCATGCCAGGCACATATGTGTGCGTAACCAAAATCCCAAGAGTAGAATAGAGGAGAAGGGATTGCAGCATGGCCATCCTCCCCTGGGGGGATGATTCTCACTTTCTGTCTCTCTGTCTCTCCAACAAGCACACATACCTATAGCAAAACTCTCAAAAAGATTCTTCAAAATAGTTTGTGTATGTAACCATAAATTAGGTATTTCTATAGGTATTTCTATCATATAGTTTTAAGTAAATTTTCTTTTTTTCTTTCTCTTCTGTGGTTAACACTTACAGTCTTTTTGTTTATTTTTACTTTGTAGTCTGTCTTAGGAATTGTCCGTAGAGCCTTATAAATTGTCTTACATTTTGTAAGATGAATATGATTCATGGTTAATAAGTGTCAAAACAGATTTTTATATATGATATAAACATTAGCATTTTCATATTTGTCAGTTCCATAAATCAAAGAATATCTCTTTGTGCTGTTATTAAAAGTGAATTCTAAATTAATTAAATAATAGTGGAGTACGCCCTGAATGTAGTGCCTGTAGACTAATATTTCATATTCTGCTCTTACTTTAGTTTTGTGTAACTTGTATGAATAATGCATTCAGGTATGCTTGTTATCAAATATTTGTCATGCTCACCTACAGATTATATAAAATATTTAAACTGGCTACCTATCATTAGTAAAACAGTAGCATTAATGAACCCAAAACAATGCTATTTATTACTCTGTTATCTAATGTTAAATTTTGATGATTTAAAAATATATTACGAGAGTTACAGAAGACTACTTGCCCTTCTAGACAAAATACTACCAAAAGACATCAAAGAAGCTAAAATAGTTCTCAGTTACCTTGTATATCAGTATTTTATTTCTAGAAGGAACACTGTTCACCATTAATTTTGTTTCTGTTGTTTATTTATAACTGAGATAGCTTTTTTTTTTTTAAGAGAGATTTTTGCTCTAGGGTACATGGACTCAGTGGGGAAGCAGAGAGAAACAAAGAGACAAAAAGCAAGAAATCACCCCTCGGGGGGATGGCCATGACACAATCCCTTCTCCTCCATTGTTCTCTCAGGATTTGGGGCATACACACCCATGCGCTCCATGACTGGAATCACAATCGACTATGTGCGAGTTCAGCAACGCAACCATTGTGTAATCTGCTGGTCCCAATTACCTTTTAATGAATAGATCCAATAAATTTTTTTATACCTGAATTACTCAGTTCATTATACATCCTCAGAATTATATGCCAATATATAGTTCTAAATTTACAGTATTTAATCTCACAGTTTGTTCTTCACTATAAAAATGAATGCCTTTAGTTTGAAGTTCTGAATAGTATATACATTTTCTCCTCCAAAATGATCACATTTGGAAGATAGAATAACCCTGTATTAACCGAAACTGATGTGAAATATAGCATCTCCTCACCCATAAGAAGAGGACCCCTGTTGTGCTGTTTCCCTAGTGCACAGGGAGTTAGGAGGAAGCAAACATTTAGTAAAGCTCTAATAAGTGTAGCTTTAGGAAGGAAGATGGAAATTGAACTAGGAAGACTTCCAAGCAGTTTTAAAATTATGTTTTCCTTTGCTTTCTTTACTTCCTTGACTTATAGGGAATTATATGCTGACAAAAACATGGTACTTTAGCAATTGTAGTCTGAGTTCAGTATTCAGAAAGTGAAAAATTCACCCAAAGCATCATTCGTTCCTTCGGAGTATCCTTTTCTTTTGTACATAGTTAGTAATTTGACAAATTTTCAGAAATGGAGGAAGGAAGCCTGATGATATTTTATTCTGGATGGGAAAAAAATACCAGATATTGGTGGCCAAATAAAAATGTTATATTAAATTGTTTGCTCTCTCTAATTTATGATAATAGTCATATAATTCTATATATTGACAGTCAGTTCTGAGGTTTGTCATATCTAAAAGGAAACCAAATTATATGTTTCTGTATATTTGCTCATCTCTCTAATATTTGAATACATAAGTTAATAAGTCTTAGGACCAAGAAATTTCCTTACTAATTGACCTTTTCATTGTGTGTACTTATCAACACTTTAAACCTCATGGGTAAAACCATGGATTTCTGGTCTAGATTTGACATTGAGCTTGGTAAATGCAGATTCTTGGAAATAGTAGAGTATAATATAGTGGAAAGAGCCTGTAATTTAATACCAGATACCTAATACCAGATTGTCTGACACAATAGTAATACTTTTTCCTATGTGACCTTAGAAAAGCCACCTAACTTTTCTAGCCCTAATCCAAAATTTTTACCTCGAAGTTCTGATGTTCACCATGCTGGGCTACTTTAAGGAAAAAGCTAAGAATTACTTAGCACCTACTACGGGCCATGTACTAAATAAACACACCAAATTAATTTAATCCTCAGCAGCATTAAGAGGTACTGTTATTTATTCACGTTTTATACTATGTAAACTGGTTATATACTGTCTCACAAATTTCTTAATGGAAAGAAATTTTAAATGTAAGTAGCCAACAATAATTTCTTCCATATTAAAAACATTGACATTTTAAATATCACTCTTATGCAAAATCAACAGCAGTTTAATATCTACTGTTCATTTTTTTTAAACCAATAAGCTCTTCTTTAAGGGTAAAATGTTATATCATAATGTTTACTACTTCAACTCATATTTCTATTCTATGTATTTTATAGAATTTTATGCTAACAATATATATTTCCCATTTCAAGGTATTTTCATAATAAACTGTTATTTTTTAAGTTATTTATTTAAATTTATTTTTACTATTTTTTTTTAATTTGACCAAAGAGAAACAGAGAGAAAGAGAAAGGAAAAGTGAAAAAGCAAGCTTCCAGGTGCAAACTCTACCCACAATCGGCCATGTGGGAGTCCAGCACCTTAACTGCTACATCATCCGTTGGCCCTCAACTGTAAATATCTTTAAAGAAAAAAATATATATAAATTGAAATCTTTATTTAATTTCCAAGGACCACAGGGATCTTAAGATTTTTTTAAATTATGGATTGATTTATCATTTACCATTAGTAGTCCACAATACAACATATTACAAACTTTAATTATGAAAGAAAATGTTATTGGAAATGAGATGAAAAGAACTAAAGTATTTTCCAATTAATCTACACCTTCTTTCTAGAAGGAAAATGTTCAGCATTCTGTTCCTGTTGTTTTGCACTGAGATAACCTTATTCTCAAATTAAAAGATGAAATAAAATTTGGTATTATAACTGAATTTGTTGATTATACATCTTTAGAATTATATGACAACAGTTACGGTTATTTACAGTAAAAAAAAATTTAATGTCCTTTCAGCTAATAGTTCAAGTAAGTACTCTCAATGTTATTGAAAACAGAAATACAAACCATCTAATTTGCAAAACTATATTTCCCCAGTTATTAGAACCATTCACTCTCATTTTCTAGACTACTAGAAAAGTAGTAGACATACTAGAAAGGCTTTACCAATACTTACTATCGTAGAACTAATGATACCTGTTTAGGCTTTTTCCTCCTCACTGTGTGTGTGCATGCATATGTGTGTGTCTATACTCTGTGTGTGTGTGTGTGTGTGTGTGTATCGCTATATTAATATGTAAATACAAACATATTCAGATATACATACACTCATGTTTACAGAAATGGTTAGGGATATTGAGATTTGGTTCATTTCAATACCTTTTGACAGTACATTTTTATAAAAATATTTTTATAGTACTATATTCTATCTTTTGAGCAATACTTTGTTTAGCTCATTCAATTTGGGGAAAATTTCTACTTTATAACCTAATAAAGCTAATTGCCACTGTCATAGCAATTATCAAAGAGGGCTTTTATGTCAGAGGAAAAAAGGGTGTATCCATTTTTCTAATTCAAATAAATGTATAATACATCATTTAAAAAATTTTCTTCAATAAGGAAATCTATAAAGGATAGATAAATTATAAATAATGAAGAGTATTTAAAGTATAAATAATTTAACATGTAAAAATAGATTACTCAATAGTGAAATGAAGATAAGATGATAAAAATATACTTTAGTCTTTATAAGTTTTAAAAATCTATGTCTACAAATCAGTGTACATTTGGAATCCATAATTATTCTATAGGTAACATGTAATTTATTGAAGAAATAAAACTAATGTATGAAATACAGACTGTATAGTTATAACTAGGATATAGAAAATGTAAAGGTCTTGTGAGATGGAGAGTGCTTAATTGAAATAAATATTTTATAATTTGATAAAAATAGTTTTAACTCTTATCAAATCTACCTATAATCTGTAATAGAGTATATAAAATGCAAATTTTATTCATGAGTTTATCTAGTTTAACTTGACAAATTGAAGTTGCATTGAAGACTCTGTCACCAACTTGTACTGTTTTAGCTGTTCAGCAATCCATATTGCTTCAGCTAGCGACAGACTCTAGAAAATAATGTTGGAGAAGACTCTGCTTTCTTCTCATCAGTCTCCTGAAGAACCATGATTTTTAAATAATAATTAGAAGGTCAGAAAGTGAGGTTATTGAAGGAAAATTATCCTCACACTCTCTAGCCATGTTGTTATATAGTTGATTCAGCTTTGCAAATAGAGCCAGAATACCTTTATGTCAATTGACATGCTTTACACATAATAGAAACTGATGGAGACAAGAAAGACTAGAAGATGTATAGTGGTTTATGTTGTCTTGCGTAATCTGTTTTGAACTTCTCTTCATTAACCTCCTGAACACATTTATACTCCAAGACAATACATCATATCAATGTAATGGATGGAAGGAAGAGGATGCCCTCCCCCACCCCGCCCCGCCCCAAGAAAATGAGAGCAAGGGAAACTGTGAAAAAGGGAAAGCAGAAAAAAGAGCCTTCAAGATGCTAAGAAAAACAGTATAAAGAAGTTGAAGATCTGGAAATTGATTTTTTTAAAACCAACAATATAGCAAGGAGTTTCATTTAGCTTTGGATTCAATAAGCCCAGTTCGATGACTGTTTGTATTGAATTGAGTAATACAATTCTCAGAATATAGCAGACACTAAACAATGGATACCTATTGACTGTATTAGAAAGAAAAAAATATGGGAGGCCATTATTACTATGTTATTGATTCTCAGGTTTAAATAGCAGCCACTGGAAGAAATTCAGTTACTACTACTCTGCAGATGTAGCAAGATAGTTTTAATAACAAAAATATGCAGATACATCACCATTTGAATTTGACCTGGGGTTTCATTCTGCTGAAATGTGCTGTTATACAAATTTCGAACTGAAAGTTTAGTCTAAAAGTCTCTAAAAAGTCAACCCTGGGACTCTCAGGAGGCATACCCATTACCCTTATCAACAATATGGACACCCTCCCCTGGAGATAGTAGAAGAAACAGGAAAATCATAGTGCAGCTAATACTGGCTTTAGTGCTGCAGGGCTCTGGGCTGCCTTCTCAAAGCTGGAAACATTATACTGTCTTTTAAACCTTTCTAACTCAAGAGAAAAATGAGTCTCCATTAATCCCATGGTTAAATAATTATTGAGGCAGAAAGAGAAAGAGTAATTTTGTTTGTATATAAATACTAAGCAGATAAATGGTTTTAATCAATTTAGTACCCTTTTATTCTTACAAGAAATCATTCTAACTATAGATATTTACTAAAGCTATTTTCTAAGAAGTTACATGACTGAACTAGATGTCAGTGGTTTTTATGAGAATAATTCAGATTAAATAAATATATGATGAGCTTGCAAGGAAGGTGATCTCTGAAAACCAAGATTTTCCTTTATCATTAATTGAAAAATAAAGAACTCAGTGAAATATATATTTCACTGTATGTGTGTGTATATATATATATATATACACATTCCATATATATATATATATATATATATATATATATGGAATGCTTCACGAATTTGTGTGTCCTCCTTGCACAGGGGCCCTGCTAATCTTCTCTGTATCATTCCAGTTTTAGTGTGTGTGCTGCCGTAGCGAGCTCTCAGTCAACTATATTACTTTCACTGTTTGTTTACTAAGAGGTGGAAGTATGACTTCTAGTTTCAGGTTTAAAAGGGATATTATGATATTTCAGATGTTTGTAAAATTTTAAATTTATAAAGCAAAAGAACATAATAGATTAAAACAAAATCAGTGCAGTTCACTTTGGGTTTTCAGTAAATATTTTCTACAGATCCAGGAACAGTTTTGTATGTTCTCTGAAGATAATTTCTTATTTACACAAACTTTGTGACAACTTGGTAGTGAAATTGCTTTTTGTAAATGTGCATTTATTTTAGTGAAAGATGATGAATGTGACTCAGAAGCAGAAAATGAGCAAAACCACGACCCTAATGTTGAAGAGTTTCTGCAACAACAGGACACTGCTGTCATCTACCCTGAGGCACCTGAAGAGGACCAGAGGCAGGGCACACCAGAGGCCAGTGCTCAGGATGAAAATGGTACACGGAGTTTACCAGTTGTTTTTCTTTCCAGCTTTAAAGGATAATTGTTCCTATTACTCTACAGTGGGAGCCTACTCTGGGGAACATTTTTAAGAATCAAAATTAACAGTAGGTATCTCTCAGTAATAAGAAGGAAGTACCTGGGACAAATTTTATTCAAGATCTATACCAACACTAGGACATTACCTGAAATGTTTAAGAATACTTGAAGTATTAAATTTTTCCAGGGTCCCAAGATGAGTGGATAGATTAGCTTAGTTTTCAAATAATTAATCAACTTTGAAGTTTTCAGGAAATGGAGAAGGCAGTTAAAAAGGAACCAAATGGATCTCATTGCACAGAAGAATCTTCTTGAATCAGGGATAAACTATGAAAAGAGCATAAATTGAAGTTTCTAGATCAGATAGGATTTTCAGTAACTGAATCAGAGAAAAAAGAAGCACTCTTGCACTGTTTGTACCAGGATGCCAAATGGATACATTTCTGAAAAACGCAGACTACTGCCCTGCAGACACTGACTGCATTTCAGCCAACTCATTAGAGCTGTTGATGGATTTGCATATATGGAGAGCTTGTAGGGTTTTTTGGAGAGGTTTTGCTATAGGGCGCCTGTGCTCGCCAGACAGACAGAAAGAGACAGAAAGGGAGAAATGAGAAATCACCCCCCAGGGGGAATGGCCACGCCGCAATCCCTTCTCCTCCAGTCTCCTCTCAGGATCTTGGGCATGCACGCACACACACCTGGCGTGAGTTTAAGCCACCGGGTCCAGGACTCGAACCGCGGTCAACTACATGGGAGTCCAGCGATATAGTCATTACGCTAACTGCTGGTCCCGGAGCGCTTGTAGTTTTGACATTGTAGTAGACCTTACCATTTCAACTTCCATGTCTTGGTTGATTTTTTCCTGCTAAAGAATGTATGTTACCATTTTACCTTAAGAATCAGTGGATTATAATAGAAATGAAAGAAAATAGAAAATTTTAAAATATATATGTATATGTAAACTTTTTATGTGACAAAAGCTTTCAGAAAGCCTTGATGGAAGAAAACAACGAAATCTGAAGAAATGTCCCATTACACAGATCTAATAATGTTAAACCTTGGAAAGTTCATCATTATAAATCAGCATAGTAAAATCTGATTAAAAAAAAAGTGTTAACCGTTCTAAATTAATAAAAAAAAAAGTCTTAATTATAGAATATGTTGTTAACGGAGACATTTATTACTTTCAGGTATATGATACAATTTAACTAAAGACTAATTAATAATGTATTTCAAAGTAGCTATTCTGTCATAGTAACAAAATGTTTACATACAAAAAGTGCTTATCTTTAGAAGTTCTAAAGTTTTTAAATTTTCAGTGATTAAAACATTCACTTGGGACTGGTAGAGGGCATGGTGGTTGAGGTGCTGGACTCCCACATTGCTGACCACAGTTGGTGTCCCAGACCTGGCAGCATGTTTTTCCACTTCCCTACCCTGCCCCCCCCATCTCTCTCTGTTATCTCTCTGATCAAATGAAAATAATAATAATGGTGAATAATATTAAATAAAATAATTCTTTAAAAATAAATTCATTTTTGTACTCTTTTCTTATAAATTAGGAACAAGCAGACATTACTACAGTGGGTTGTATAATCATAAATTCTGAATGAATAGGGGACACATAGAAAAGATTTTTCTGAGTCTTTTATTTTTTTCCTTTTATTTTAACCAGGTAGTACTGACTGTCAGTCTAAAGTGTTACGCTACCTACCAATGAACATTGTAAATATGAAAATTAAAGTTTTTTGAAAAAAGAATATTCTTGGTCTTACAGATGCTTAAAGAAATCATAGACTGCTCATAAAAAGCTCACACGTAGCTGGGTCTTATTTTCAGTAAATTGAATTGCTACCTGAAATTTATTTTAGGAGTGATAAAAATATATGTTTTTTCTTACATGATAAATTTGCATTGCTAAAAACTAATTTAAAAAAAAAAAATTCCAGGGCAAGCAGGTGTTGTAGTGGTTAGGCCCATTGTGATTCAAGTCCCAGACCCAGCAGCATGAAAATCATTCCAGGTGCATATGTATGCATGTCCAAAATCCCAGGAGGAGAATGAAGGAAAAAGGACTGCAGGATGGCCATTCCACCAGAGCAGTGATTTCTCACTTCCTCTCTCTATGTCTCAACAAGCTCACATGCCATATAGCAAAAAATCTCTCTAAAAATAAGTAAATAAATATTTCAGTATTTTACAAAAACAGAAACTATTATTTTAATCTTTTGAGTGTGTTCATTCTATGCTTATCATACCAAATATTGATTTATTTTTCATAGTTTTTGCTAGTGGCCTGAAAGAATGAACTCTTATCTCATGTGTGAGAAAATCTAATACAGACTGAGTTATGAAAATAACTTCCTGTTAAAATATCATGAGCAATCTGTCATTTTACAGAATTAACATTTTGTTTATTAATTGTGAGGCTTAATCACAGACAAAGAAGAAAACAGAATGTAATGAGAACAGGCAACTCTGTGACACTGGAGTGGGAGCTGTTTAATAAGTGAAAATCACACGACATAACAGTGCCAAAAATGAACACTCAAATGGTAGACTTTTACTTTTGCCATTGTAACAAGCTAAATTTAAAAGATGACCTAGGCAGTCTGACAAGAAGGTCTTAAATGTGGATTCCTCACTGGCCTATACAAATAGAAATTAATACTGGACAAAAATGTAACATGATTTCTGAGAAGTTTCTTGTTAGGGCTAACCTACCCCCCAAAGAAGAGGGTCATGTTAGTCATCCCCAACAGAGAACTCTGGTTCAAGTGGCCTTGTTATCTATTAACAAAAGATATCCTCATAAACTTTGGAGGGAGCTTTCCTTAATTTCATTCATGAATTTGATACATCTTTCAATATATTTGACCAGCAACCTAGAGTTCAGGTACTCAGTCTCTTGATTGCACACTGGTCTATGAGCATGACAATTTATTAGATTGTGGTGAAAGTCATGATGTATTTTTCTGTTTTTCTTTGCAAAAATGCATCATGACTTTGTCAATGTATGAGTTAAATTTCAATAAAGGCAATATATGTTTATGAAGCATTCAGAGAGTGTTATGAAGTTATCTTTATTGGTTTAGTTTTCTGTAAGGAATTGGAAACGAAAGTAGAAGAAATTGAGAGGATCGTTACAAAAAGCAAAATAGATTCCATTGCACAGAGGAATCTTCTTAAATCAGCAGTCTGCTCGGAAAAAGAGCAGAAGCAGGGTCCAACAGATGGGGTAATGGTTCTGTCTCAGGACTCTCGCATAGTCAACTGTAGTTTGAGTCCCAGACCTGGTGGCTTAAAACTCATGCTGGGCGTGTGTGCATGCATGCCCAAAATCCTGAGAGGAGAATGAAAGAGAAGATTGTGACCTGGCCATCACCCTGAGGTGGGGGGTGGGTAGTGATTTCTTGCTTTCTGTCTCTCTGTCTCTGCCTCTCTCTGGTGAGTACACAAGCCCTATGGAAAAAATCTCCCTAAAAAAAAAAAAAAAAGGAAGGAGAGAAAATAAATAGAGCAAAAACAAATTTCTAGACCAAATAGGACTCTGAGTAACTTAAAATATCACATAGAAATAAATATGGAAAACTACTCTTACATAATATTAATTGGTAGAGTATTACATTTATGATGGTCAGGCTTAGATGATACCAGGTGTAAAATACATAGCTCATTCAGCAGGCTCTAATTTATCCAGAATGCCTTTACTTTTTGAAAGCTGTATATATCCACACATATACAATTATAAAGAAAATGTGTCAGTATATTTCACTAGGAGAAAGAACATGAAAAATCATAGATGGAAGGTCTCCATGGGCCAGGCCTAGATCTGGTCCCGTCACTCTTCCTTTCCTCACCCCACACACATTCTTTTTGCTTGGAACTGTCATATGATTACCCTTAACTGCAAGGAAGTCTTAGAAGAATAGTCTAAATGTGTGCTTACTCTTTGGTGACAATAACTTTATAGTGTCATTTTCATATTCAGAAGAATAAACATGAAATAAATCACGATATGGTGGTTATCAGTAGGAAGACTCTGTTATAAAGTACAGTTCTGCACATAAGCATGTGATGGAAACTGGTAATATTGTCTGAATGTTTGCAGTTTAAAATATATGGCCTTTCTTTGACAGGAACACCAGATGCATTTTCCCAATTGCTGACCTGCCCATATTGTGATAGAGGCTATAAACGCTTTACCTCTCTGAAAGAACACATTAAATATCGCCATGAAAAGAACGAAGATAACTTCAGCTGCTCCCTGTGCAGTTACACCTTTGCATACAGAACCCAGCTTGAACGTCACATGACATCACATAAATCAGGAAGAGATCAAGTAAGTGAAATGATGGAGAGTTCACGGACTCCAGTGTTAGAGCTCAGCGCCCAGGGAAAGGCAGACCTTTTAATATACTGATCGGTTAAAAGGATATATTAGGCAGTTTCTTGCCTGCAACCTAATAAAAATAAAAATGATTGTTTTCTTGAATTATCTGGTCATTTCTAAGTTTAAAAACTTAAACATTAGATTAATGGTCATTTGGGTTTTTTTCAGGTAAGATTCTTTCCATTTTAATTACTTTGTTTATGCATAGCATTTATTTCTCCAACTTAAGAGGATTTCAAATTGCATTCTACTTAAGTGTTCAGTGTAGGAACAATACATATTGGTTACGTAAACCACATAACTTAGTCCTAACCAGACTGAGAAATAAAAAACATTATTTCTTTGAGCCAGTGGCTACTTTATTTGTTTTCTATGGGCTTTGTTTTATTTCCTGTAGTAAGGGAAGTTGCCACCTCTAAAAATCTAATGTTTAAATATTTATATTCTGAAGACTCAATTTTTATGTGGTTTGTTCTACTCCAATATCGGCATGCCCCAATTTCTAGCAGGATAAATCAAGACTATTTTGTAATTATAAGTTACATTTAAACTTTTGGCTCTAAGTTTAAGATTGCCAGTTGGAATCTTTTTTCCTTTTTTACAAGGTCCTAATAACTGTCAGCTATCAACAATCAAACTAATACCAACTTTAACTTTAAAATTTAAATAAATATTCACCTGCACAGGGCATTAGGGTATGTGCTAGGCTTAAGACACATAGCCAGTTTCTTATATCAAACGATTTAGAATATCTACTTAGCTAAATTTGTAAGAATTATGCCCCATGTATAAATATACCTAATGTAAGTCACATCTCCAATAGAGGACAAGTGAGACCTCTTGCTAAATGACAGCTAAACAAAACAAAAAAATGCTAAAAGCAATACTAGAATGATTGAGCAGGGTCAACCTGATTTCTTAGGACTTTGGCAACAACACTCACAAGATAATGAGAAAGAGAGTGGCAATCAGAGAGAATAAGACCAAGATTGCCTAATGTTGGGTAACTGTAAGTCTATGAAGGAGCACCTCAAATGGGAGCAGATACCAAGAGAAGGAAAAAAATGATACAGAGGAGAAACTGCTGGAGAGAAAAAGATCTATACTATGTGTTCTGATGAGTCTTATCATGGATAATACGGAAGAGTGCTTTTCTGCCTTGAGTCCTGCTGTGCCCACAGTAGAGACAAGGCTTCAGAAACGAGCCTGTTTGTGTGACATTTGGGAAGCAGACCCACCCTGCCACTGCTGTTGTCATGTCCTCTCTTTTCTGAAGGCCCTTGTCAAAGGAAAGGAAGGGAAGGGAAAAGGAGGAAGAAGGGAAGAGAAGGAAGAGAAGGGAAGGGGAAGGAAGGGAAGGGAAGGGAAAGGAGAACTGGTGGTGGAAGCAGAAGATGTCATTATAAAAACAAGCTCTGAAATCTCTGATGAGCATGAAAGCTACTTTTGTGATGAGTTTTCTGGTAGATGCAAATGTCGTAGGTTTTATGTGAGTCAGGACGGTGCTGTGATAAATGCAGAGACCAGTGTGTGAGAAAACACAACTGGGAGATCTTGGAAACAACTCGCTTTGTGAGGCAGCAAACTAAAGAATAGACTGTCTATCTTGCTGGCCTTTGAAAAATCATACTGTGACTAAAAGAAACATTTCCATGCCTTACAAGCTGTATTCATTTAGAAGTATTTGCATTTTTATTGTATACCAGGCCCAGATCTAGGTATTAAAGGCACAGTTGTGAAAAAGGCGATGTCCCTGACAGTAGGGAGCATCCATTAGAAGGTGATATAAGGCAGAAATAAAATTTAAAAAGTGGTAGTTTGAAGAAAAATAAAGCAGGCTAAGAAGACAGAAACTGATGAAAACTGCTGGTAGGGAGACCTTTCTGAGAATGGGACATCTTAACTGAGTCCTGAATGTAATAAAGCCAGTCACGGAAATTGGGGGAAGGGCATTCTAGTCCAAGGGCAGAGAGTGAGACATAAAGAATCTGGAGCCTGCCTGGCATGCAGAGGAACAGCAAGGATGCCAGGTGAAGAAAGCAGAGAAAGACAGTGAGCCCAGAGCACAACGGAGTCAGACCACATAGGCCCTTGTGTAGCCCAAGATAAAGAATTCTGCTTTCATTCTAAAGTGTGACCAGGAAGCCCTCAGGTGATTCTGGGTATTTTTATTTTTTAAGAGAATGACTGTTGGGTGGAGAATATGTCAAGAGAGACAGAAATGAATGCAGAGGGACCATTTAGAGAATGTCAGTACCAGAGGCTGGGATGGCAGACACAACCAAGTGAGGAACAGTGATTTCAGAATATATTTAGACGTCTTGTGAATATATTGGGTGAAGGTGTAGGAGAAAGAGGAATTGGGATAATGCCCAAGTTCAAGATTTAATAATGAATCAATGATGGCGCTGTTCACAGAGGTAGGAAACACTAGAGAAACGGCCAATTTGCAGAAGGGAAGGGAAGAACTTGGTGTTCATCAGGTCAGACACCTATCACCTTCACCCTGGCAGGATCAAAGAAGCAGTTGACTGTAGGAGCCCAGAGTGGAAGGCAGAGTTAAAGGAATCTGGGAGTTATCACCATGTATTAGTATCTTAAGCCATGAGTTTGGAAAAAGTAGGGCCTGACATAAAGAAACTTCTCACTGTCCTTCTTTCCTGTGTGAGAGGCAAAAGAAGAAAGATCTCAGCTGCGGTGAACATGAAGCACATAGTTCTTGAGTTAAGCCTTTGAGGAAATGATAGAATAAGTCAGAATAAAGGAGACACAGAGCCAAGGAATAGTGTGGACCAAAGGGAGGAGGTTTGCTCTCCTTTAGAGAGCAATATGTGTGCAAAAAACCCATGACCTGCTAAGTAACTGAGGGAGTGTAGCTCCTGCAGAGAACGTGTGAAAATAAACTTGGGAATTCAGGGACTATAATCATGGAGTCTGTAGACTCAGAGTCTATACAGGAAGAATTACTGTGGTTCCTTCAGGGTTATATGAACAGGGGTTGATTCAATACGATCGAAGCAGTACTTTTATAAGAGTAATCTAAGTGTGCACAATTTATTTGAAATATATTAAAATGGGAATTTAATAAGCCAGACTACTATTATAATTCACACTTAATTGAAAAAGATGGAAGTATCTCTTTTTTAATCATCAGTTTAAAGTACATTTTGGAACTATTGGGCCATCAGGAAAATCATGTCACATTTTTGCATAGACAAATTCGTCATGACTTTCCCAACAACCTAATACTAAACACATAAGAGACATGATACAGTACTGGAAAAAAGTCCAGCCTTTTCTTCTATTCAGGACCTCATTCTATAAGTGCTTTAGATAGATTAGTAACTATTCTTAGACTCGGTTTCTCTATCTATAAATCAGAGTGGAGACAGATAACCTCTAGTTTCTAGTAAGGTCTATATTTCTTTATTTTTGCTAAATATTATGTTGCTTAATAAAGTATCCTTTATTTTAAATTAGAAACTACAGATTTTGTTTGTATGTCAGAATTCTGTTCTTGCTATCACCATACTTTTTGATAATAATTACAAATGTTAGATTTGGGGAAAGGCCTTTTAAGAATGGAGGCCTATAAGAAACCATCGTTAGACTCATTCAAAACATTACTTTTAGCATATTAGATGTTCTTTATGACTGAAGTTCTTTGGCTTTGCAAATAAAACACCAATTCTTTCTTACAGAGACATGTGACGCAGGCTGGGGGTAATCGTAAGTTCAAATGCACTGAATGTGGAAAAGCTTTCAAATACAAACACCACCTAAAAGAGCACTTAAGAATTCACAGTGGTAAATACTTGTTTTATTTCTACATCCTGAATACCGTAGCATGTATGGTAACAACTACGTCTGTCAGAACATGTGATCTACATGCATAATCAGAAACTTGTAAATTTCCTGTTAGAATAAAGACAAATATGGAGAACTTCTCTATTTATAAAATGGCATTTTATTACAGTTTTAACCTTGACCAAGGTATATAGAGCTAATATATAATACAATGGACTCCATATTTCCTAACCAGAAGATAATATGCATGTGAACAATCTAAAAACAGTTGAATTTTCTGATAAATATTTTTCATTGCATCTCTTGCACAATTAACAAGGGAATTAAAAGAAAATAAGATATGATTTGCACAAAGGAATAAGAAGGCCAAGATATACTTTGCATGAGAAAAGTAGAAATGGGATTCAGCCTAGGAGAATGGGAGAGAAGTGATGCGGAGTCAATGAGCAAGGGGGCTGTACGAGGAGAGAGAAGTAGAGCATTAGAAGGTTTAGAAGGAAAATGTGTTCCCCGTCTTCTTCACCTTTCTGTTCCACATCATTGTTTAAACATTTTTATTTATTTATTTTTATTAGCGAGAGAAAGTTACTCTTGACAAGGTCTCACTTACCCTGTGATCTTCCCCCAGCCCAGCCAGCCAGGATCATAGGTGTGCCCAACTTGTTCAAGTCAACCCAGGATCCAAACCCAAGCCTCCCCTTGAGAGGGAGTATCACAGCAGCCCTACTACCCACACTACCTTGGATGAGCCCTAAAGTGAATATTATTTTATGATGCAAGTAGCATGTCTATTTTAGAAGCTTATAATAAACAGAGCTATATTCGCATTTCTTTAGAGAGTCTACTTGAATAAAAGCTTCTTTAAAAAAAAATACTAGCACTGGGACTAGCAGTTAGCGTAATGGCTATGTCGCTGGACTCCCATGTAGTCAACCGTGGTTCGCATCCCGGACCTGGTGGCTTAAACTCACACCAGGCGCGTGTGCGTGCATGCCCAAGATCCCGAGAGAAGAATGGAGGAGAAGGGATTGTGGTGTGGCCATCCCCCCTGGGGGGTGATTTCTCGCTTTCTGTCTCTCTGTCTCTCTCTCTTTCTGGCGGGTGCACACGCCCTATAGCAAAAAAAAAAAAAAAAAAAAAAACCCTCTCCAAAAAAAGAAAAAAAAAGTACTAGCATTCTACATTGAACTATGAAATCTCTTATCTCCTAATTAATTTTGGTATGTTATTTTTAGATTTAAATAATTATAATGAAAAAGAGCTATTAGCCAATGAATGAGAAATTACAAGTGGAATTGCTTATTTTGTGGAAGTTATTTGTTGACATTTATGTTTTACAAACATTTTTCTACAAAAAAAAGTACATTTATATGTCTTTTTAAGTGGTAGTTGGTGATATCTTCAGTCTGTTTTTGAACTACATTTCTAGAAATCTTGTACTGCTCCTTGAGGTTAACTCTCAATGCTAAATATGCTAAAGTTACCACTTGAAAATGCTCAAACCAGGATTTTTACAAACATTTATGTTCATAAATTGATCAATGTTTCTGAAAAGCAGAGCTTGTCTTTTACAGCTTGCAGCAATATCCTATTTCTTAGCTGCTGTGCTGTTGAATCATTTTCATTCATAATAATTTTTTTTAGTAACCTCCTTTTTTACTAGAGACAGTTTGAAGTTAGAATATAGCTATTTCCAAAGAGTTCGTAGAATGTTGGAATTGGGATAAAGAAAGGAAAATGCAGTGAAACTCAAGCTAACACTCAATATAACATACATTTTGTCATTTCATCATATGTGTACAAGCAGATTTATCAGAGCTGTAGAAATCACATATTAATAGATGATTTAAAGTTGGAAAGTATTCATCTAAGATTAAGTACTGTTCTTAGAAACCAGTATTTTAACTGTAGAATCCTGAATTGGTAATCAAAACTGACTCTCAATCAAGTGGTAAGTCTGGACAGTCAGTGCTTGGGACAGGCTGACGGAATGCTCCTGTTTACTGCTTAAGAAGCCCAGGCAACACGGGTCAGCTCAGGGGCTCCAGAACCCCACTGTACTCCACATTGTCCATTATGTGTTTGTTGGGTTATTGGAAAAGCCATGAGATGTATTTTTGCATAGAAAAACAGAAAAATACATCATGACTTGTCCAATGACCCAATATACTATCTTGTTCTTAAAATTATTTAACATGGGGACCAGCAGATGGTGTAATGGTAATGATGCTGGACTCCAACGTAGGTGACTGCAGTTCAAGTCCTGGACCCAGTAGTTTAAAACATGCCAGATTCATGTGCATGCATGCTCAAGATCCCAAGAGATGAATGGAGGAAGGGATTGCAGCATGACCTTCCCCCGGGGGGCAGGGGTGATTTCTTGCTTTCTGCCTCTGTCTCTCTCTCTGGTGAGCGTTATGTGCCTGATGGCAAAAATCTCCCCCCAAAAATTATTTAACATGAGACTTACATACCTTTCATATGGCAAGTAATTTTAATTTAAAATTGTGTAAGAAAAATTTGAGAAAGTAAGACTAAGGCGAAGTAAATACGAAGAAAAAAGAATGCTACGAAATTCTGTATTCTTGCCGAAAAAGGGCCACAAGTTAGTTTCTAAGACTTAGACAGTAAGAAAATTGCAACTAGTAACCAAGCTCAAGAGTGTCTGTGAACAAAAATAAACAGTTTCTAGAAAAAAGGACTAATTTTCCCTATACGAAATCTATAGATAAAAGTTGTTCCTTGGAGGATCGTAAAGAGGAAAGAGCAGAATATAATTGTATCATCCTCACTCAGAAATAGCCTTAAAATAATGCAACAGGATTTTCTTTTTTAAATGAGATTCTTTGATAGAGACCAGTTATATTTCATCAAAGTGTGATTTAGAGAAAACATTGATTGTTTCAGGGTGGCTACCTGGATACAATCCAAGCTTGCTCTTAGCTACAGGTCAGGTTTATTCGGAGGGAGGACTTTTGAGCAGGAATACTCAAACTGTCATCCCAGGACTGGTGCCAGTCTGTAAACCCTTTGTTACTGGCTCTTGAAGATGCAAGTACAAAAATTGAGAGTAAACATTTAGAAACTTAAATACAGGACATTGCTGTGGCATTTTTATAATCACTTACAAAATATTGGTCAACATTAGACAGTTAAAACAAAAAAATCAAAAACCAAACTCCACCTCATATAGTTTGAAAAGCACTGTTTAGAATAATAAAGGATGAACTACGTATTATTCAGAAAACCTCTTTAATTTGTTTTTTATCAGATGAGTTTTTAAAAGATGTTGAAAATCAGGGCTCAAAATCATGCATCCCAGAATTACCTGGATTGTTGCCGTAATCAGATACCCATAAAATGTTAATAAGGAGCCTTTGGAAGATTCACGTGGTAGCAGTCATTTGTGTCCGCATGTCCTTAGGAGTTGAGCTGTGAGGAGGAGAAGGCCGCCATACTCAGAGCTCAGACAAGAACACCTGCCCATGGCCTATGATACTCGCCAGAAAAGAATTTTGAGTTTGTCCCATGACCTTAGTCATTTTAGCCTGAAAAAGTTTTACATTCAGATGCAACCAAACATTCATCTCAACCATTAACAACTAAACAAAATGAATCTCAGAATTCATAATGCATTTAACTTTGAGAAGTAGAATTTATTGCTGTAGCTTCCAGGCTAAACTAGATGCAAACCCTAATCTAAGAAGATAAATTAGGTAATGTATTTAAGCTGTAAACCATAAAGCTATGAAGTTAGAAGCAAGGTCCAACAAATACAGTGACTTTGGCTTTCAAATAATTGTTTTTCGGACTTTCTTTCTGGCCATGATAAAGTATCCAGGTAATTTTCAACAATAATAATGATACCTAGCATTAACTGAACACTTAACAGCTACATGCTAATCATGTGTATGCATTAACTGTGATAGCCCTCAGAATAACCCTGTGAGGTATATTCTATTATTCTTTCTACTGATAAGAAAAGGCTTAATTAACTTGTCCAGAGTCACTTAGCTAGGACACAGAAAAACTGGGGCTCTGCCGTAGGCATCTTGACTCCAAAGCCATTGCCTGGCAGCACCGTTCTCTATCTCCCTGTTTATAAGATAACATAGTCTGTATTATATTTGTTTATCTTCCTGCTGTCTCTAGCTGGAACATAAGCCTGTAGGTCATCTAAAAATGTTATCAAATAATTTTAAAAGTTAAAATATAGATATACTAGAGCAAATCCCTTGTTTTACCCCCCATTCGAAACATTTGATGCATTTTGAATATTGAAACCTATTTTAGGCATTCCGTTGAAAAGATGTATTATCTTGAGAATATCCAGAGGTGGGTTAACAGCAGGTAAGGGTTCTGAAAACCACGTCCTGTGAGGAATGTTTGAAGGACCTGAGTACATTTCATCTCCATACGTGAAGTTTTAGGATACACATCGCAGCTCTTCATACTTTGAAAGTCTGGCTTGTAGAATGAGAGCTAGACAGACTGGTATTCCCATCAGCAGCACACATACTAACATTGGAAGATTAGCCTGGCCCCTGTGCAAGGATGACTTGCAAATTTGTGAAATATTCCATTAAAAAAAAAAAGAGAGAGAGACTTGTTTTGTGCAGTATCCGAAGGACAAACTAGAGAGAAAAGTATACCTTCTTGCAAGCTGGCTTTGGCTTAGGACTCAACATTTCTTTCAGTAGAGTTTATTTTGTTTTGTTTTGTTTTGTTTGTTTGTTTGTTTAGTTTTTTTTTTACCATAGAGTATATGCACTCACCAGAGAGACAGAAAAAGAGAGTGGGGAAGTAAGATAGTATCCACAATCCTTTCTTTGTTCTCCTACTGGGGTTTTTGCATGCATGTTCACGCACCCAGCATGATTTTCAAGCCAGCAGGTCTGAGACTCACACTGCAGTTGGCCATGTAGGAGTCCAGCACCTTAGCCACCATACCACCTGCTGGCTCCTAGAATTGCTTTTTTAAAGTATGATCTCACTGACATTTGTTGAGAGGGTACTACAAAGTTTTGCTATATAATCTCATATAACTCCTACAACAAACAATACAGTGAAAATATATCTATGTTTACATACCACAACACTGAGGCTTGGAAGAGTTAAGCAAATAATATGAGACAGAGCCAGGATTTGAACCAAATCTATGATCCTTAGCAGAACCAGACCAACCCTCTTTTGTAGGGCTGTCCTATAGGTAATAATATCACTTTTGTTAAAGGAGTTAAGGCAGAGACTAGCTAATGTCCAGGGTGTTATGAAATGAACTCTAATCTTATGACAGCGCATCTTAGACCCATTCTAATTCTAATCTGATTCTTCAAATAATCTTAATTTTGAGAAAATGTAACACTTTTTTTTTTAACTTTACAACAGTCATGTTACATTATTAGCAGAGCTTACATGGACTTTCTCACTACTTTCATTTTAATTCTAAAAAAGAAAGGCAAAAAAAAAAATTACTTTGCTGAGTAGACAAATCAACATCATCACACCTAATTCTACAGTTAACCATTCATTCACCTAAAAAGGTTTAATGAGCATTCATGTGACCTGCACTATGATGGGTGCAAGTAATAAATGAATAAACAAGACCTAGACGTTCCCACTTTATTGAGGATTATAGACTGTAATGTATAAATTATAAATTAGTAAACTATAACTGTGAAGTAAGATTAGAATTAAAAATTAGGTTTGTATAATAATGTCTGACTTAGCTCACACTTCCCAAAAATTTCCTGCAGAATGTTCCTAATGTCCAAGGAGAGTATGCAATTCCTTAGACTTAGGAAGCAGCTTGAGGGAGGCCCCTATAAACAAGAAGGTTCTTAGATGTTATTTCGTTTTTCCTAACAGCTTACATACATGTGTTTTTCTCCTTAGAATAATCTGTTTTGCTATAAAAGTACTGTTTTACTGTATCCACTGTCACTAAAATTGAAACTCCAATGCTTTACACACCCATGAGAACTTACATCCCTGAGAGTCTATGCATTTCCGTATAAGCCAGTGCTTACAATGATAGTTTATATTTAATGTTTTCCTATTAGGAAAGATCTTTTCAAGAAATCCTTGTAGATACGAGAGTTTTTACTAAGCAAGGATAGAGACTCATACTTGCTAAGTCTTCTGAGAAATTTTACTTACTTTCCTTTTCTCTAGTATTAATTGTCCCTATACATGGTTAAGTAGATAAAATGTAGAAAATAATATAGGTTGGTATAGTAGGATAAGAAAAAAAAATTACTCATAAGAGTAGGATGTAGTTATTTTTGGTATTTTAGAATTATTTAGTTTTAAAGGTTGGTAGAAATACGACAGAGATGCCGAGATGACTCCCTGACCGATTAGCACATGTAGTGCAGACCGAGACTTTATGAATGTTTATGACATTTATGTAGGCTTTGAACTTAAAATGATTCTAAATAAAACTATCACAGGCATACATAGTAAAGTAACCTCTTTTTTGAATTAATATTGCTTATTTTAGGAAGCATGTGGATACATAAACATTTATATGTAATAATTTAGTAAATATAATTTTTTTGTTTAGGAGAGAAGCCATATGAATGCCCAAACTGCAAGAAACGTTTTTCCCATTCTGGTTCCTATAGCTCACACATAAGCAGTAAGAAATGTATCAGCTTGATGCCTGTGAATGGGCGACCAAGAACAGGACTCAAGACATCTCAGTGTTCCTCACCATCTCTTTCAGCATCACCAGGCAGTCCCACACGACCACAGATACGACAAAAGATAGAGAATAAACCTCTTCAAGAACAACTTTCTGTAAACCAAATTAAAACTGAACCTGTGGATTATGAATTCAAACCCATAGTGGTTGCTTCAGGAATCAACTGTTCAACCCCTTTACAAAATGGGGTATTTAGTGGTGGTGGCCCTTTACAGGCAACCAGTTCTCCTCAGGGTGTGGTGCAAGCTGTTGTTCTGCCAACAGTTGGTTTGGTGTCTCCTATAAGTATCAATTTAAGTGATATTCAGAATGTACTTAAAGTGGCAGTAGATGGTAATGTAATAAGGCAAGTTTTGGAGAATAATCAAGCCAATCTTGCATCCAAAGAACAAGAAACAATCAATGCTTCATCCATACAGCCAGGTGGCCATTCTGTGATTTCAGCCATCAGTCTTCCTTTGGTTGATCAAGATGGGACAACCAAAATTATCATCAACTACAGTCTTGAGCAACCTAGCCAACTGCAAGTTGTTCCTCAGAATTTAAAAAAAGAGAATCCAGTCCCCACAAACAGTTGCAAAATTGAAAAGTTACCAGAAGATCTTACCGTTAAATCTGAGAAGGACAAAAGCTTCGATGGGGGAGTGAACGATAGCACTTGCCTTCTGTGTGATGACTGTCCAGGAGATCTTAATGCACTTCCAGAATTAAAGCACTATGACCTAAAGCAGCCTGCTCAGCCTCCTCCACTCCCTACACCGGAAGCTGAAAAACCTGAGTCCGCTGTTTCATCAGGTAGTGGAGATGGCAGTTTGTCTCCCAGTCAGCCACCTTTAAAGAACCTCTTGTCTCTTCTTAAAGCATATTATGCTTTGAATGCACAACCAAGTGCAGAGGAGCTCTCAAAAATTGCTGATTCAGTAAACCTACCACTGGATGTAGTAAAAAAGTGGTTCGAAAAGATGCAAGCTGGACAAATTTCAGTGCAGTCTTCTGAACCATCTTCCCCCGAACCAAGCAAAGTAAATATTCCTGCAAAGAATGATGATCAGCCACCACCTACAAATGCAAGTGAACCCCAGGATAGCACAAAAAGCCAACAAAGTCCTCCGAAGATGACTAACTCCCCAGTTTTACCAGTAGGATCAACCGTCAACGGTTCCAGGAGTTGTACACCATCCCCCTCACCTCTCAACCTCTCCTCGTCCAGAAATACACAGGGTTACTTATATACAGCAGAGGGTGCACAAGAAGAGCCACAAGTAGAACCTCTTGATCTTTCACTACCAAAGCAACAGGGAGAATTATTGGAAAGGTCAACTATCACTAGTGTTTACCAGAACAGTGTTTATTCTGTCCAGGAAGAACCCTTGAACTTGTCTTGCGCAAAAAAGGAGCCACAAAAGGACAGTTGTGTTACAGACTCAGAACCAGTTGTAAATGTACTCCCACCAAGTGCCAACCCCATAAATATTGCTATACCTACAGTCACTGCCCAGTTACCTACCATTGTGGCCATTGCTGACCAGAACAGTGTTCCGTGCTTACGAGCGCTAGCTGCCAATAAGCAAACTATTCTGATTCCCCAGGTGGCTTACACATACTCGACTACAGTCAGTCCTGCAGTCCAAGACCCTCCCTTGAAAGTGATCCAGCCAAATGGAAATCAGGTAAAAAAAAAAAAAAAAAAGAAAGAAAAGAAAGAAATAGCCTCCTCCTGAACCCGGTTAATAAAATGCTAGCTTGGTTAATCTCAGTCATCTTTTTCTAATGTAGATCACTCTGTAGAGCCAATAAGGTTGTTACATACTGTCATTTTTACAAGGAAATAGACCAGTGTTTGCTTTCAATTTGCTGGTATGAGATCTTTAGTTGTTTACTAATCCAAGATGTTGTTAACACCCAAAGTTTAGTGTTATTTTACTGTGAAAAATAATTTATAAATCTCAGCCAAAGATCTACTTGAAGTTAGAAAAAAAGGGAAAAGAAAAATGCAATTCTCGTTAATTGGGGTTCTGTTTTTCTAGTTTAATTACCAAAATGATTAATAGTTTCTGCCTTGATTATCATCATTAGTAAATGAAAATATGTTGCTGTTCACAGGTTCACACCAGGCAATCTTAGCTATCACTTTTCATGTACTGACACGTCTGTTTATAAAAAAACATTTAATTAAACATATAAGAAGTATACAAAGAACTCATTTAGTGAATTTACTCATCATTTTCTGAACTGTGAATAAACAGTGTTCAGCTGTAATTGCTATATATGAGGGAGGAAGACTGAATCTGTCTATGCAGTTTCCTCTCTAACTTTCTCTATACGTTTACAATCATTTTGGATAGAGCTATTTCGTGCAACTGTTGTGTGTCTTATTGTCCAGGCTTTTTTCATGTCGCTAACTTTAATATGTCCCCATTTTTTCCATTAACTTCTGATTGAATCAAATGAATAATAGAGATAAATTTGATATTTTATGCAAATATTTGCTGTACATGGGTGAAGCTATAATATTTTAATATCTTGTTCAAATGTATATTTGCTGCTTTTGTCTTCCCTTAAATACGCTACTGACTAGGTTTCCCGTAGTTGTGCTAATTCTTAAAAAAGCTTTCAGATGACCAGTGAATTCATTTAAATTTTTAGTATATAGAATACTTTGCACACCTATGAGTAGAAAAAGAGCCACCATTAATATTGCACATCATCATATGACAAGATCAAATACCTATAAAAATAGGGTCAAGTTACCATTTGCAATTTCTGAGTGATGAAATGACTCTATTTCTCCTGAAATATAGAAGAAACTTCTAGGAAACTTGTGGGTTTACAGGCCATGGGATGGAAGACTTTAGAAAAAGCACAACAGTCGTAGAGGACCCATTTCCACAATAGGCTCCCTGCAGGACTGCTCTACCTACACAAGAACCTTCTGCCCCAAGTCATCTCCCTGAGCTTGCCTGAATTTTTTAATCTACTTGAGTTCTAAAGATTCATTTTGACTTGCAAGTATTCCTATATTTAAAAATATTCCTATATTTAAAAATATAGACCTGCCTGTATTCTTTTTCATCTTGCTCCTTAGAAAAGTAGAAGAGCAACTCTCGCAACCCTTTCCCCATTTGTTTGGTTTGTGTGTGTGTGTGTGTGTGTGTGTGTGTGTGTGTGTGTGTATGTGTGTGTGTGTGTGTGTGTGTGTGTGTGTGTGTGTGTGTGTGTTTTGTTTTGCTATAGGGCATGTGCCCTAGTCAGAGACAGAGGATGTGGGGAGGGTGAGAAATCACCTCCCAGGGGGGATGGCCACTCTACAATCCCTTCTCCTCCAGTCTCCTCTTGAGATTTTGGGTATGTACACACATGTCCTGGGTGATTTTCAAACCATCAGGGCTAGGACTCAAATCACACAGTCAGCCATTTGGGATCCAGTGCTTCGACCTCCATGCCATTTGCAGGCCCTGCAGTCCTCTTTCTTCCTAAGGAGACCATGTAGGTTAGTTCAAGAACTCTATATATAAAGTTCTGGAAGATACAATTTAAAGACACTTGTAAGTAATAGAATCTTAATTTTGCTTTTTGGAACCAAGAATAAAGAATAATAATAATACAGTTAGAAATTATTAATTAGCAAATGCTCACAAGTTAACATTTTCTGCAAATTTCTTGTACTATAGCGATTTACAAGCAAACAAGTAACTTTTGTTTCTATATACTTTCTGTTCTTTCTCTTTAGTGTCCTTTCTTTACAGTACCCATTAAACAAATGTTTCTGCCCTACTTTTTGGCTGTCCTATGCCCAGCCTCACTTTGGGGTCTGTCAGCTTCCATGCTCTGATCTAGCCGTCCCCTGGGACCCATGTGCAACAACGAGCCACACGCTTGCTGTGGTCAAGTTGTTGCAAGTATCCACCAGAGTGTAGTGCTTCATGCTTTTACTTACATTTCTTATCTTTTTATTTTATATTAAATGTGCTTACTTCTTTTTCCTTTAGGATGAAAGGCAAGACACTAGCTCAGAAGGAGTATCTAATGTGGAGGATCAGAATGACTCTGATTCTACACCACCCAAAAAGAAAATGCGCAAGACAGAAAATGGAATGTATGCTTGTGATTTGTGTGATAAGATATTCCAAAAGAGTAGCTCATTATTGAGGCATAAATATGAACACACAGGTATGTCAATGAACACAAACATATTGTCCTTTCTAAAAGTGCCTTTGATATGATATACTGAAAAACTGCTAAATTAAAAACTAATTTTAACATTTAAATTAAATATTTTTAAATAGTTAAAAAAACATTAAAGGGAGAAAACTATGTTGACCTATGAAAATTATGTGAAAGTTAATATTCCAGCTTCCCTAAGTAAAGTTTTATTGGAACAGCCATGCTCATTCATTTATGTGTCATTGATGGTTGCTTTTATGCTGTTCGACAATTTCAGAATTGAGTATTTTCAACAGAGACCATTTGGCCTGCAAACCCTTAAATACTGTCTGGCCCTTTATAGAACACATTTGCCAATTCCTGGCCTATTTGATTCTTCTATCCATTAAAGTGATAGTAAATTTCAGTTGGTTCTCTGAAGGGGCTGGGAAGGCCTGATTATTTTAGTGTTTTCAGATTTATGTGGATGTGGCCTTAAATATTTCTACCATAGCTGATTTTAAGCTTGAAGGTAAGGTCAGTTTGCATAATTCCTGTAGTCAGTTTGCATAATTAGCATTAGACTCTCTTTATCTAGTAACACTGTAGAACAGCACTGTTTCTCTCTACCACGAGTTACTATACAAGGGGCCGGGTTTAGCACAAGCTCTTAAGTTCCTTACCCTCTCTTCTTTGCCTTACCACAGCCATTCTGGCTACTGCATTCATATTTATCTTTCATAATCTAACCAACTGTTTCAGTTCATTTCTAACTCCTGTAAAAAAAAAAAATCTAGAGAACTCTTCCATTTTTCAGTCTGTAGATTCCAAAATACATGCAGTAATACTTAGACTGTACTTGGAGTTAAAATCTGGTATTACATGGGCCAGCCCATAGCTGACTGGTTAAGGGAGTGGGATCCCACATGGCTGACCATGGTTTGAATCCCAGCCCTGGTGTCTTGAAAAACATGCCAAGCACATGAATATGTGTGCCCCAAATCTTAAAAGGATAGAGAAATGGAGGAGAGGGATTGTGGCATGAGCATACCACTCTGCAGGGCACTTTTTCCCTTTCTGTTTCACTGTTCATCCATTTCTGATGAGTTCGTATGCCTTCTTGGCAAATGAAAAAAATAATAATATAAGAGAAAAACCTCTCAAACCAAGTCCCTTGGAACACATTCTTCTGCTTGTTTTTATACCAGTATCTTAGAAAAATTAGAAAATGGAATCTCTTTGGGCAAGACATAAATATTAGCAAATACCATAATGAACAAAATATTAAAAATATTCTATTAATGTATCTAAAAATAAAAACACATTTCTGCATTTGTCAGTGTTAACTGCTTGACAGCACTGAAACTGGGCATTATCAGTCCTGAGTATGAGCAGCTGTCAGTCCTTTTCCAAACTGGGCTGTAGAATTTCACCATCCCATGCATTCTCAGTAGGGGCAGAGTTGCCCATAAGAGGCAAAATTTGTTTCTTAGGGGCAAAAAAGTCTCAGATATTGCAATGGCTCATGGTTTTCTGAAGGACTGCAGTACATAACCTAAGAGACTCAGTATAAGTTTTATCATATATTAAAAGTATATTCAAGATATGAGACCAGCAGATTGCATAGTGGTTATATCACTGTACTCTCACATGGCCAACCACGGTTCAAGTCCCAGACTCGGTGGCTTGAAAATCACACAGGGCATGTGTGTGTGCATGTCTAAGATCCTGGGAGGAGAGTGGAGGAAAAGGGATTGAAGCATGGCCATGCCCCCTGCAGGGTGATTTCTCACTTTCCCTCTCACTGCATCTCTGTGTGTCTTTCGTGCCCTAAAGCAAAAACCTCAAAAAAAAAAAAAAAAATGGTTTACCCAGTGTTAAAATTTCACTGGAGACAGGAGTTATAACAAGGGAAAAAATGTCCAAAAAGAGTCCTTAAGGGGAGCAAGAATGAAAAAAGCAAGTTGAGAAACACCTCTGTGCCTCCCTGCCCCTGCTGTTCACTGACAGATACCTCATCTCAGCCTCACTTTCTGAGTTTTCCACCTTGTCATCATGGTGCTTGTATCTTTAACATTTCTCTCTCGTACAGTTCCCATTGATCTCATCTGCAAAGGAGAATATAAAACAGTAACTTTTTTTTATTAATGACAAACCATGCTATTATATTAAGGAAATTTGGATGTGGAAATTTTTTCTAAAAATGAAACAGTAACTCTACCCTTTCTATAGACTGACGTGTACCAGAAGCCTTATAAGGATTTTATTTGCTTAATGCCACCATTTTATTTCATGTTCTTATTTTGCAGGTAAAAGACCGCACGAGTGTGGAATCTGTAAGAAGGCATTTAAACACAAACACCATTTGATTGAGCACATGCGACTACATTCTGGAGAAAAGCCCTATCAATGTGACAAATGTGGAAAGCGCTTCTCACACTCTGGGTCTTATTCTCAACACATGAACCATCGCTACTCCTACTGCAAGAGAGAAGCAGAGGAACGCGACAGCACAGAGCAGGAGGAGGCAGGGCCGGAAGTCCTCACAAATGAGCGTGCTGGTGCCAGGGCATCTCCCTCCCAGGTAGACTCAGACGAGAGAGAGAGTTTGACGAGGGAAGAGGATGAAGATAGTGAAAAAGAAGAAGAGGAAGAAGAAGATAAAGAGATGGAAGAATTGCAGGAAGAAAAAGAATGTGAAAAGCCACAAAGGGATGAGGAAGAGGAGGAGGAGGAGGAAGAAGAAGTAGAAGACGAAGAAGTGGAAGAAGCAGAGAATGAGAGTGAAGAAGCAAAAACTGAAGGTCTGATGAAGGATGATGGAGCTGTGAGTCAAGCAAGCAGCTTAGAACAAAAAGTAAGCGAGAATAGTGAGCAAGTGTCTGAAGAAAAAACAAATGAAGCCTAATAGTTTTTCTAGAAGAAAAATAAATTCTAATTGGTATGAAGTTTGTTCTATATTATCCATGCTTTTCATGGAAACACAGTAACCTATATACTGTGATTCCTGTTCACTACTGTGTAAAGTAAAAACTTAAAAAAAAAAATACAAAATACAAAAAAGAAAAAAAAAAAAAAAAAAACCACAAAAAAAAAAAAAAAACCGGGG